CTGCAGTGAGCTCAATAGAAAACACGCTTAGGAGCTTCACGTCCGAAATAATCGACATTTTTGGGCCGTTTTAAACCGTTCTTGAGCGATCAGGATGTTTAACTGACAATATCTTTCTTATTACCGAACCAAATACTTAATGTCCACACTGAGGAACATTTTAAGGCGGAAATAATCCATTGACCTCAAAAAACTCGCATTTCAAATTTTGATTTTTGATCGAAAATTTTATGAAGGGTTGAGGTCGATTTTTGCAAAAAATATCATTTCATTCAATATGCTTCAAATTGTACGTTATTTTCGCCTAAGGGAAGCGAATAATGAAATGCGCACATTATAAAACAAGCTAGAAGCTTCAGATCCGAAATAATCAATATTTTCGACAATTTTTAGCGGGTTTTAAGGAGTTACCATCGTTAACCCACAATATTTTTCTTATCGTTGTCCCAAACACTTTATATGTGCATGTTGAAGAGCTTCGTAGGGTGGCAACAAGCCCTTGAGCTCAAAACAGAAAAAAAGCACATCTGTTACATTTTTATTTTTGATCAAAAGGGTTTGAATGATTTTTTGAAAAAATATCAAGTCCCGCAAAATGCCTGGAATTTCTTAGCATTTTCATCAGACGGAAGCGAGTGAATGAAGTCAAAATATGTTTTTTTAATCTCACCTCAAAGACGAAGGCGTTTCAGGCCCTTCCAGTCTTTGCCTGACTGTTTGAGCCCTGGTGGAAAACGCATCGACCAAATGCCTTATTCGGTCCTGGATGAACTGATGATGGGTATCTGAGGAACTGAGCTGAACGTTATTGTAGAACTCACATTTGCGAAAATTTACTTGTCTGTTGATGCGGTTTCAATTTTTCGGTCAGCCACTTCGACGTTCCTTTCGTGCGGTTTGCGTCCTATTTGTTTTGCTGCATTTAACGTGACAATATTGCTGGTCGTTTCCAAATCGTTGCACCAGGATGCACGGCAAGTCGATTTGTCTGCAGCTTGATCGAGGATTAACTGTTCCGGATACACCATTCTCTAGAATTTTGCGAAAAATCTCCTTAATGCCATCAAAAGCCAGAAGGACACAATTTTTTAAACTTTTGCCGAGCACTGGAACCACTATAGTGCTGTTGAATTGCGCACGTTTAAAATATCCCAATCGGCTTGTAGCCTTTGGGAATGAACAATGTACTAAAGCGAATTAAACTTGTGCGCCTGTGGCCGAAAACAACCATTGCAATTAAATCTACCAATTAAGCTAAGTAACCAACACGGGCAGTTAAATATATTCATTGCATTACCTTTTTAAATCGGCAAATGTTTTCCATTTCTAGCTAATGGCTCTCGTTGCGTGACATCCAGATCGTTTGCAGGAAAACCGACCGACAGGACTGCGCTGCAGGACTGAGCAGGATCAGCAGACACGCGAAATCTGGATCGAAACTAACGCCAGTTATATAAAGGCTCTAAAGTCATTTCTTAATGGAAATGATCTATTTTTTGCGCTCTAAATAACTGAAGAAACAAGTGAGGATGCTTTAGTATGAGCAAGGTACGGTGTGTTCTCCAATTCTTAAAATAACTTGCTCCGCTTACAAAAAAACTCGATAAAACGGCATTTTAGGCATTGCCCTGTCGTGCTTAAATCAAGCGTGTTTAAACCGTTGTTTGTGAGTTTGAAAAATGACACACTCGGTATAGTAAAGGCATCAATAGGGAAAGCGGAAATAATTTTTATCGGTCTTTTATCAACTTATCAATAGGCAGGCCATATGGCCATCATAGAAAATGTTTGCACTTTGTCCAGATAAACCCCAAATCAATCACCAAATTTAATTAGCGGTTCTTAATTAAGTTACATTTTATTTCCGATGCTGGATTGGAGCTTTTCTACCTATTTAAATAATTTCTACACTACCTTTTATCACAAAAAAACGTATTAAGTTTTTGGATTTTTTTTTCTTCCAGCAGTTACATCAAATACAGGGCGTTAATTATTTATATCGCAGTTAATCCTCACTAATATTCCAAATATCTATCAGCATTTGGGCTTGTTGTTCATTGTAATAATATGGATAAATCAGCACTAACTCGATACTAATTGTGCATTCCAGATAAATTTTACGAAAAGAAGCCGTATGAAGAATATTGACAAAAAGCATTCCACCACCGATTTTTTTATTGAAAAATTTTTCGGTTCAAGCAGTTAAAAATGCATTTTTTTCGCTCCTTGTCCTTAATTCGTATCCTGCTTGAGTAAAAAATCGAAGAAACTCATGTTAACTTTCCTATTAGTCGCCCAGTGTGTGCAAATTGGTCTTTGAGGTATCAATAAACAAATATGTTTATTGATAAACAAATAATAATAATTAAAAAAATTAGACAATTTCGAAACCTTGGTCTATAGAAAACCTACTCATACTAACCGATATTTGAATTTCGACTCAAATCACCCGATAATGGTTAA